GCAGCTGGGCTACACTCGCAAACCACGCTCTTTCCTGTGTGCCAGGGTGACCCAGGCATGGGACCGAGGGGACCCCCTGGACCACCTGGTCCCCCGGGACCGCCAGGACCCTCCTCCAAGCATGACAAGCTGGTGGGTGCTCCCTGGGACACGGGTTTGAGGGGGGACATGGAGGAGCGGGGTGCTGCACCCCAACCCTGGCTGTCAGTGCCTGACATCACCCTCGCATTTCTCCCCCAGACCTTCATCGACATGGAGGGCTCTGGCTTTGGTGGCGACCTGGAGAGCCTGCGGGTGAGTGAGGGTCCTCTCCTGCTGGCAGGGAGTGGGAGGACATTCTCGGCCATCGTCCCCTCCTTCTCTTGTAGGGTCCACGAGGACCACCTGGTCCCCCAGGGCCACCTGGTGTGCCTGGTTTGCCGGGGGAACCGGGACGGTTTGGGATGAACCGCACGGACCTTCCGGGACCGCCAGGTCTGCCGGGCAGGGATGGGACCCCTGGGCCCCCAGGGCCAGCGGTAGGTATATCGGGTGGCCAAGGGGACCCATCCCAGGGCCACCTTGCGGTGGTGGGGCCATAACTGCCCCCTGTGGCAGTGGGGGGCTCCCTGCCTACCAGCTCCACGGGGTTTCCCTGCGCTGGAGACAGCTCCTGGGCATCTTGCAGGGTCCTCAGGGTCCTCCTGGAAGAGACGGGGCAGCTGGGCAGCCGGGGCCCAAAGGAGAGCAGGTGAGTGTCCCCTGTCCTACGTGCCCTGGGAGCACGTCTCAGCTCCCCCGCGGGGCAGCTGGCCCCCCAGGGGGGGGCGCAGCTTTTTGCTGCCGCTCGGTCCTCTGGCACATCTCCAGGAGGTCCCAGCTCCTTCCATCCCTGGACTGGAGAGCATCAACCTGCTCCTGGAGCAAGGCAGCTTCTTCACACCCTCTTCTCCTTCCTCCTCCTCCTCAGGGCGATGTGGGCGACCTCGGCCTCCCCGGTGCACCGGGACCCAAGGTACTGTGCCTGGAGCAGGTTTCTTGGCAGGGGGTCCCACGTGCATTGCAGACTGGAGGCAGGGATGCTGCTTGGGGGGCCAGCTCGTGCCGCAGCAGGGAGGGGGATGCTGGTATTTGGGGTCCTCCCGGAGTAGAGCAGTGCCACGGCTCGAGGGTGCGTGGAGCCGCTGACCATCCCCAGAATGCTCGCTGGACTTCTGCCACCCTTGCTTGGCTTTGGTCCAGGCACTGCTGCCTCGAGAAGTGGGCAGGCAAGCTGAACAGGGTGTTTCAAGGCACAGAAGAGGGTTTACTTGGGGTGTTTTGGGTGCCTGCACCCCTCTGGGAAACACCTCATCTTCTGCACATCACTCTCCTGCCTGCCTGCTCGAGCTTCTTTCCGTCCCGCATCCCCAAGGGTGGAGGTAAAGGCTTGCTGGGATGTGCACTATCACCCTCCCCTCCCTCGGGGGCTAGATGCCCCTTGGGATGACCCATCCATCACAGCCTGAGCTGGGGGCAAGAGCCTCAAGAGTTAAGGTTTCTTAACACTGCCGACATCGAGAGGGTAGACAGGGCGGCAGCGGGCGTAAGG